GCTCATTTTCAACTTCTATTCAATTTTCATACTGCCGTACTCTAACGGAACTATCCACCTACCCTCTTCTAAAGATCATTCTCTAGCTAATAAATCATCACACTAAAGCTTCATGTTAGCATTTCCAACCAACTCTGAAAATCGTTAACTTCGCGTATGAAGTAACATAAAAACACTTTGAACTCTTAACAAATTTATGGTGGTCCTGAAAAGGACCGTTTTATAGTGATGGTTGAGTAATGCTGAGCTAAGCACGACGAGCTACCTAATTCCGATCCTAGCCTAGCGGTGGGACTTCTTCCTCCTTCTCTATGGTTGCTCATATGAGCTCTGCAGCTCACTGCTGGCAGGTAGGCTTTCGTTGTTATTGTTGTTGAAAGCACTCCTGCTGCGCTGCTGCTGCTACTACTGCTGCTGCTGGGCTGGACACCACCACTTACGGTGATTGAATGAGCACCGTTCAGTGGGACCGCATCGAATTCGATTTTTAAGTCTGTGTTAGGGAATGCGCTGTTTTCAGACATTCGGTGATAATTTTGATCACCATTGCAACAGTTGGACATTTGGTATTTTTCAATAGTGACCTATTGAAAATTAACTAAGTGTTCATTTTAGCAGATTGGTAGATACATTTCCAATCGTTTGGCTTATTTAGAATTAAAATCGATCTGCTATTGGTCGAAACCTGACCTCTTTTCGTAATGCTGTGCATTTTGGTTTTTTTGAAATTGCGTGGATTCTATAGATCCTGTGGAGATCTATCTAGCCCTGATGTATGTGTTGGTAGAAGGAAAAATGGAAACTTTGCGGGAGACGATGTCTTAACACTCGAAAGCAATTTTGTGAAATATGAAGTAAAACAAATCCTGGCTAGTTCTGCATGATGATTTTGTTTGATTTTATTTATTTGTAAAGTCGTCGGGAAATACCAGCTGGCGATTTGTTTTTTATGATAACTCCTTACTTGAAAACAGGCAAAAACTCACAAAGAGGCTGCTTTTTCATGGTATACAGTGTAATAATTCAATAGTCAATAAATTATCTCAACATTGTGTGGCAAACCATTCATAAATTTTGGTTTCATACAAAAAATTCTATAATCCACATTAAATTTCATATGTAAGCGCCGATTGAAACAATCTTTTCGACGTCACTACAAGGGTGATTGATTGAACGAAAGAAACGAATCGTGCGGAATGGAAGCCGAGGAAAAACTAATTGCACCAATATATTCAGGCCTACAATTCCACAGCTTCTATAGATAAGTTGAGCCTTGATAGCTAGCTGCTTGCGGGAACTGATGACCTTGACCAATGTCCAAATAATACTCTTTAACAAACTGAGCTGGGTGTTCAACACGGATGAGACTGTCGAGCTGTATGTCGTTTGGAGCGAGGGTGACACGCTTGGCATAGATGACCGACCCGCAGCGACTCACGAAGAGCTACTGATTCCAATCCATAGCATAGCGGTGCAGCTTCTTTCTCCTTTGATGGTTGCCTATGTGGGCTCTGCAGCTCGCTGCTTGTAGGCAGCCGTTCGTTGTTACTGGAGAACAATTTTCAACGCCACACGCCGAAAGCACTGCTACTCTGCTACTAATTTCGACGACCAAACACCACCACACAGCGTTGGGAGCGTGTGGTTCTGAGTATGGCGATGAGTGTGCAAAATATTTCGCAATTCCATCCTCCTTACTCGCACGCGCCCGAGGATCGGAGGCGAATGCCACTTCGACTTGTTTCGGCCAAGGTTGCAAATACTCATTTCAGCTAAAACAATGTTTTTCTAAATTATGAAATAATTAGATGCCATGATCATATTTTGAATTAGTAGGATACAAGAAGAGGTTGCAAAGAATGTGTTTGAAATATTAAACCTGTTTATTTCACTTCATGAGAGTCACAATCAGCGATTTTTCACAAACTCACTCTCTCACTCACTCAGCGATCAGAAAATCGCTGATTGTGGCTCATAGAAAGCAAAATTTACAGGTTTTATGTTTCAAACGCATACTTTGTAACCTCTTCTTGTAAGTTACAAGTAAAACATGCCACCATACCATCTTTTGGTTTTATTATTCCAAAAAACATTATTTTAGCTGAAATGAGTATTTGCAACCTTGGTTTCGGCTACTTACTACTCTCTGACGACTATGCTGGGGAAGCAGCATAAGCATGTAGGTAATTGATGGATTTGTTAGTTAATTCGACGCTTTTGGACAATGCTGGACGTTTACCAGTTTTTCAATAGTTTCATGTTGAAATCAGCATTGTTATTGATGCGTAGCCATATTTCTGATCGATTGGTAATAAAATTATTGAAATTGGACCAGGGGCAGCTGAGTTATTAACGTTCAAAATCTTTCTTAATTTGTTACATGTTCCATTTTCGGTTTTCACAAAGTGTACCCCCATATAGAAATCAAAGACGTAGTCCTACGTCAAAAAAACACATCCGTTTGGATTGAAGTTGCAAAACGAATCGCGTTCGTTCAAATTGACTGACTACATGGAAAACAAAACATAGGTATTGAACATTTTTCAAAATTACTTAAAATCTGTGATTCTCGGTAGGAAAAGTGAAAAATCGATAGTTTTGAACCTTTCGTCTGTGAATCGGTAGGCATCCCGAAAATCGGTAGGACTACCGATACATTTATTCCACTACCAGCGGCAACTCTTTGTGTAGTGTACATCAGTACGGCTGGTAGGGTAGGTACACACTTAGTGGCCAGTTGCACAAACATACTCCCCCCAAAAACAACGGTTTTTGAATTATCACATGACATTGATTACTAAAATTATTCGGTGTTGGTGAATGGATTGACGGTCGCAATAATCGAAACGTATCGTTGATGAATCAGCCACGAAGCGCTTGCAAGCGAGGTTTAAAACTTTTCTGCTGTGGTTCTGCTTCTGTAGTTTAGATACATTGTTCTTCCGTACACATTGTAGCGATCACGAAAACTGCTCGAGTATCTGATAAACGCACTCGCCGTTGAAGTAAGCATGTTTCTTGACTAAGACTCTTGCAGTCCACGGTGAGTCAAGAAACGAACATGCTCTGCTAGATGGCTACCTTGGTGGCCACACCATCGTAGCTAGGAGAGTCCCAGGATTCTCGGAGTTGCTGCTGATGCACTGTATGGAATTCCACCGGCGAAAATAATTATATGCGAATTTGTTTAAAACATTGCCCACGGGTAACGAACGATTGGTCACGGCACCATTATGATCGCGCACGGGCAGGACCTTTTCCTACGTTGTGTTATGAAAATAAAATACACGACCGATTATTTGGCCGGCATCTGTTTGTATAGTGTACATCAGTACGTACGTACGTACGTACGGTAGGTACACACAGTGGACAATTGCACAAACAAAGGCATTTTTGAAAAAAAAAAGATTTTTCGGACCACCATAGCACGGAAATGGTTACCCTAATGGCGGAATAAAAAAAAACGAGTCTAATATTTTTTGATATGGAAGAACTATTCAAATTTTCACGAAATTCTGAGACTCACTATAACTTTTTTCTATAGAATTGCTGTTTATACATATTATTCACAATTATACAAGTATTAGGTATGCAAGTCTCCAACGAGGAACTCGTAGCAGTGGCGAAAAGGAATATTAAGAAGGCTCCCAACTCGGATGGAATCTCCAACATGCCGTTGAAAGTAGTGATCCATGTGTTCCCGGACATGTTCAGGATGGTGCTGCAGAGATGCCTGGATGAAGATCACTTCCCAGATGGATGGAAGCTATAGAAGCTAGTGCTGTATTTCCTCGTAAATTTTTTGGAGAGGATAATCCTCATGATGAAAGGGTGGTCAACGGTGAATGCAATTCGGACAGTGGTCGAGAGAGCCAAGAAGTCATCCAAACAGAAGCGAAGAGGAGATGGATATTGTGCTGTGATAAAGATAGACGTCAATATCGCACACTACATTATGAACTAGCCTAAAAATCTCAAAAATAAAGCCTTAAAAAAAGTCAACATCGCATTGAATAGCACCAGTTGGGAGACCATCGCCGAATTGATACACATAATGAGGGTCCCTGAGTAACTGTGATGAATTCTGAGGAGTTATTTCCAGAACCTAATTAATCTACGAGACAGTCATGGGACAGAGCAGAGATCGATTAGGATCATGGCGGGAGTTCCACAAGGCTCCATTCTTGGTCCAACGCTCTGGAATGCTATCGACGTGCTGATGCTGAGGCTGCCGAAAGAATTCGAGATCGACGTCATGTTAACGAAGTAATGAAGTAATGAGTATTTAGTCATATTAACGTTAACAGACAAGACGAAGAGGAAGAGGTGTAATTGTTGGCGACTAAGGTGACCGATATGATTGGAGCATTGGAGGCTGCAGATAGCCCACCACAAAACGGAAGTGATATTGGTCAGTAACTGTAAAGCGGTGCAGCGGGCAGAAATTACCGCCGGGGAGCAAGCCATAGTCTCGAAGCGCGTGCTGAAATACCTGCAAGAGATGATCGACGACCGGTTAAACGTCAACAGCTATGTTGACTACCTGTGAAAGAAGGCAGCTAGAGCCATACTGAACAACTCTGGATTAAGCAGTTGCAAGAGGCGTCTACTGGCTAGTGTATCCTCGTCAATACTGAAGTAGGGAGGTCCAGCCTGGGGGGCAGCGCTGGAAACCAAACGGAATCTAGGGAAGCTGAACAGTACGTCAAGGCCATGCGAGTCTTGAGTGCGGACATAACCATCTCGTCAGCCAGAAACACGGACAGAAAATTGTTTGCATTGAACCAAAAAAAAAACTTTATTTGTATTTACACAAACAATTCCGGTTGAAATTATATTTCATTTTATTGTTTCGATAATATTTATTCAAATAAATTCAAAATAAGATTTTTTTGTTTTCATAAGCCACTCTTCAACTGCAACTATTGTAAAAATAACAATATTCTATTATCAAGCCAGCAATAGTTAATTTTAATTTAACATTTATTTGTTGTGTCAATTCCCCGGGCCATAAATGCAAAAATAACTACCAACCATTCCCTCGTGAAAACCCAGACAAAAATGTAAACAATAACAAAAAATTTCTCGTTTCATTCAGCTCTAGAGGTAAGTAAGTATGCTGCTGTTGCAAAATATAAACAGTTTTTCTATTTTTCCTTGATTTTTTCCGTCAATCTTATTTTCAGTACTGAGTACCAATGCTCCCAACGCCAGGAAGGCCGCTCCCACACCTGGACCCTACCTATCGACCCATCAACTCATGAACCGGAGAGATTTTATGCCTCAGAAAGTTTTTTTTAATTTCATTGTAATTCTGTTGGTAACAAATAGAAAACAAAATATAAAAATAATCGCAAATTATTAAAAATTGAATCAATAAACATATTTTTATTTCTACTGCGTATATTTTTAGGCTTAATAAAATAAATATGATTGAATCAACAAGAAATCTCTTTTAAAAACAAACATATTTTTTGTTGACCCAGCTGCCAAATTTGACAGCTTACGTCAAAACCATAAAAGCTCTTGTAAATTCGAAAAGATTTTCTTTTTGATTTAACAATCCATGGGTTTTTTAATCAAAGATACTGGATTGTTGAAATAATAATGATTTCATTTTGCAGCCAAAACAAAATGAAATTCTTATTAAATTTACGTCAAATATTATTAGGTTTAAATTATTTTTTTCTGCGTGAATATATGATACTTGGCCTTCGGGGCCTCGGATTAAAATATGTTTTTCAAGTGATATTATAGCCTTTTGATTCACCTCAGTGTACCAAACAGGCAAAAATATGTGGTTTAAGGCCACCGTCGATTAATTTTTTTTTATTGATTTATTTAATAGATTTGAGCATCTCAGAAGATAGCGCAAACTTCTAGATAAATTAAATATGTTGTTCTAGTTCGCTTAGTGGATTAATTGTGTCACTAGGGCGGTTCAAAGGTATGGTGGTCACAAACATTAGAGTATTTTTTGTATGGTTTGAGGTCCTCTGTCACGCTGTTTCAGACGAACCATGAGCCTGTCGCCCTGTATTTGTGATCAGTACATGGAGAACATTTTCTTCAATTGAATACATTTATGGCTTGAAAACAGTATAGCGTACTGGAATTGTTACAGAATATATTGTTTATTGTTTTATTGGTGTCACTATACACAAAATACAGTATTTTTTGTTGATGGTGCTATAAGAAGTATTTTTTTTGCAAATTATCTAAGAATTACGTCGATGCGACGTTTCATAGTTTGTTTACGTTATTACATGAATGACTAGCCGGGTTTTAAAAGAAATTATTATATTATTCATCTTCTTCTTCTTCGTCTTCCTCTTCTTCAGGCACTTCTTCGGCTTCTTGTTTTTCTTCTTCCTCTAAAACCGGTTCTGGTTCGGGTTCTGGTTCTGGTTCTGGAGTTGGCGGTTTTGGGTTAACTCTGGGAGCCTCGTTTTGAATCACTACATCGTCCATTCGCTTTTTCTTATGTGTTTCAGATCGTAAACCTATTTTCACTACACGTGTGACTACCACTTTTTCTACTTCGTTCTTTGCTACCAAGGTGTATTTACCGCTATCTTTCATTTGAGGGTTGTTGATTATAAGGGTAGCATTAGTAATTTTTGTGCCCAACTCGTAGTAGTGTTGGTTGAAGATTTCATATTTGTCTGTGCTATGAGGGATCATAATTGCATCGCAAAACCAAGTTAAAGTTGGAACAGGATTGCCTCGCACACGTGTTTCCAGGTGAAGATCATTGGTTGTCGGGTGGTATGATTCTATAATAATAAAAACAATTTTTTTTTAAATTTAATAAATGTTACACATGTTAAAGAATTATTATGTAGGAAATTGCAGAAACTACAGAATCATTGATCTTGTTCGCACTAGAGCTCCTGTAACATGTTACAGGAACAGAACAAAATTCCATCAAGACAACCTTGTAATATCCCTAATAAAAAATTACCATAAACGAACGATAACCCAAATAATAGAACTATTCCACAAATTGTTTGGATGATACCCCGAACACGTCGTTAAGCAAAATAACCATGAAAATTTTATTACGGATATTATAACTCACTAACCTGAACATACCAATATTCTTTTCACCCTACCATTCAAAAGGTTCATTACAACTATCTTCTTTATCAGAGGCTCAAGATTCACAGATAAGAAAAATACTACAACAAAAACAACAAAAAATACTCTGATTAAAAAAACGTCGAAAGTGAGTGCGTGGAATTTGAATAAATCGGCACTCTTCAGTGCTTTTGAACACGATGTAGATGAGACGATCGCCAATATGAAACTCCTGGAGCATCTACAGTTATGGGCTCCCTCGTTTAACATCAGACCCAGTGCGGTGAATGAGTTCTTAAAAATATTGAACAAGCGACTTTCCGATACACTTCAGAAAGACCACGAACCCTTCTTAAAACTACGCAGTCAGTTTCACTAAATCCGGTTAGAGATGGCCAGTATTGGCTTTAAACCTTGTATTGTAAAAGCTTTTAGTGGAGCCAATGAGCTTTTCTTACATCTTGATTTCAAGAGAAAAAAAGAGATTTTTTGAAATTTTGACTTTTTGACAGGTTGTCAAGGTTTTTGTTTTGTTTTGATTCATTGCAGCAAGCTAGCATATAACTTAACGCTGTCAAGTTGGACTAGAAAATGCTAAGATACAACCATTAGGTTTATGTTATTAGAATTCCAATCTAGGAGAATGTTTTTTTAGCAGCAGCAAATTATGACGAAAAAATGTCGTATACGCTTTAATTGATAGGGGATGAAGCACTAACATACATCTATGTATAATTAAATAATATGTGACTGGGTTTTGTTCAACAGTAATAACAGTTTTATACTAAATAGATAATCTTTTGATGATTCTTTAATATATGGTGCTAATGTAGACAAATTAAAAATATTCCTATATTTAATATTCGTATGGCGCACTGAATGTATGCTCCTATTAAGTATAATAATTACCGTAAATGCTCTGCTCTGAAGCATAAACAGATTGGTTCCAAATTGTAATAAAGTCGTCCTATTTTCAATACACAACAATATCAGCTACTATTACAAACTGACATTGATCATGATTTCACATCAAACATCGAAAGAATAAAAGCACAATAAAATATTTCTCAATATTAACTATCATCCTTATAAACCCAACTTCAAACCTTCAAGGTTGTCAAAATGTTTTGCGTATCATGTTTTATCAACTTTTTCAGGAGCGATTTATGCGGTTGTAATATAGTTTTACGGTAGTCATCAAAAGGTGGTTAAAACTTTCAGACCAGGAGGAAGTTTTATGCTTTCATTTTTAACTACCACGTGTAGAGTGTCATAAAACTGACATAAAACCTATGCTCCTAAGGTAGTTCACATACCAAGTTTTAATTATAGCATTAAAACTGGGCCAATTGGCCGTGACATGTCTGAATAGCGGTTTACAGGAGGTTGTTAAATCATTGTGGTCGCCAGTGAAGGTTTTATAATTTGGTTATATAAACTGATTTAAAACAACAATAAAACGAAAATTGTTGTTTGGGTTGCTGCGCACGGTTGTGCATTTACTTTCCGGATGGTCTTTGTTGCTACAAATGGTCAGTTCACGACTTAACTGATACAAACAATTAAGTGACCCCTGAATATTATTGAAGATTTGGAAAGAGCAATAAATTTCCTACAATAATAGTGCTCTTGTCAGCAGGTAGCAAACAACTCTCAAACTGGCACCGTCAGTCGTTTTGAGTATTCGAAAGCTGGTTATTGGCTTTTGGGACACCATAAATTGATCCATAGACGTTTATTAGTCTAAGAGTAATCTATCAGAGCAAGATTGCCAACCCCTCCCCCACTGCGGACGCTATATACCGAAAGTTTCGTATTACAATCGGGTATCCTTATTCTCGGATGTTTTTTTTCTGCAATGATACGTAGAGGTTACTTTGCATTTTATTCTGTTACAGTACAACTACTGAATAAAAAAACAAATACACGCACTTAGTTTTTTTTTCGATATGGGCACCACCAAGCAGGCATTTTATTTTGCTGGATCTCAGTGGACAACTTGCCGAGAGTAAGGTAAGGGGCTGTACATAAAATACGTAGACACGGGGGGGGGGGGGGTCCGAAAATTTCTACGCTTGTCTACGGGGGGAGGGGTGAAGGTTCTGTCTACGTGGTTTTATTAGAACGATTTTTTAATATTTTTAGCCGCTTACTATTGTGATGCTTCCATCTACAAGTTAATTTGTTTTTATAAATAGTCTGAACCCAGTTCCAAACTTTGTAAATGCCAGTAACCTCGATACGATTCAAATTTCAAAAGAAAACAATCAAACTAACGTTTATCAGAAAACAAAGAGACACAATTTTGATTTCCGAAACAGGCAGAATAAAACCAGAAAATATCACAATTGGAAATTATGAGGAAAACATAACCCACAGGAATAAACAGTAGAATTGCATAAAATTAGGTATGGGTAATTGTGCAGTGAAACGGTAAGTAAATCATCTAAGAAATCCATAAAAATATAAATCTTAAAAAAGTTTTCCACGAAAACCCCGCATGAAACATCCGGAAAACAATTGCCAGGGTGATACAATTATTCTTATAATTGTTGATGATTGAATAAGGTACACCGGGGAAAGTTAAAAAGGAAGGCGTAAATATCAGCGGAAGTGAGATATCACTGTGATTGAACAGAGTAGTTCCAAGTCAAATAAAAAAAAAAAAAAAAAAAAAAAATCAGACTGGACTTTCTCCGATTTGCATGAAACTGTATATAGTTGCTTGATCTGGTCAATCATCCACATTTCAGCTAAAATTAAGCCATTTTAAATCTTGCAAAAGTTTCAAAATTCCGTATTCAATACTTTTCAATAAATCCACAAAACGCCACAACAAACAGAAATGACATCTAAGACAATGTTGTAGGAAGAAATAAATGCTATTCAGAAAAAAAAATATGAAAGGTAAAAACATTTATCAAATTTTTGGTAAAAAATCTAAAAGTCTTAACAACTTTAATAATAGAAAATTACCATCTTTAATATTTTTGAAGTTCTCTTTTTTAAGAATTTCTTAAGTTGGACACTTAAAAATTGACAAAAATCATGGAATGCTTCGAAACTTTTTTTGTTTATACAGCTTTTTGTAAGTTTTTTTTCACAGAAAACAATTTATTAGGTTTAAACAATCAAATTGTGTGCAACAATATACCAAACAATCGTTCAAACAAAAAGTTAAACATTGGACTAAAAGTTGTTGCTCTATGATTTTTAACAATTTTTGTGTGAATACGCCACTTTGATGTTTTTTTTACAAGATTCAAAATGGTAAAATTTTAGCTCAAATGTGAATGATTGTCCATAACAAACAATTATGGAAAGTTTTAATCAAATCAGAGAAGGGCACGTCTGATCGATTCGTCATTTGGCGCGGAACTACTCACAGTATAATAAGCACCTATACCTACGCATTTTTTGACTGTCAAAACAAGTAGTTGCAAACAGTTAAACGTGCCCCTCAGTTTTGTTTATTTTAATGAGTCATGATTTTTTTTAGCAGTGCTTCAATCTTATCCAAAAAGTTGATTTTTAATTAATTTAATCCTCATTCCGTCTCGCACGCTGAGCCGGTCAAGTCACATCGTTCTCGTTGTATGACACTATTATTTGAGTTTTTGAGTTTTGTCCCACGCGAGGGTTTTTTCCTCGCCAAAGTTAGTTGGCATAGTGTGACAACTAGTGCGCGAGTGAGGAAGTCGTTAACGATATGCCGAGTGCTTTCATTACGGTCCAGCTTTGCTCAATATCATCGTAACATCAACATCAGCGACGACGAGAAGATCCACAGCCAACGGCGCCGGTGGTGTAGTGGTAAGCGTGATTACCTCTTACCCCAGCAGGCCTGGGTTCAATCCCAGTCGGCGCCGCCGGGATGTTCTGAGGCAAAACATCTCTGATCACGCCTTCCTTCGGATGGGAAGTAAAGCCGTTGGTCCCCGGTTCATGAGTTGATGGGTCGATAGGTAGGGTCCAGGTGTGGGAGCTGCCTTCCTGGCACGTCGGTAGCATTGGTGCTCAGCACGGAAAACAAGATCGACGGAAAAAACAAACCAAATGAAAAAAAAAAAAAAAAAACACCAGCAAAATCATCACCACTATCGGTACATCACCCTATCGATAGCAACAACGAAAGAGCGTCAAATTGCCTACCGAGTCGACCGATGCACACCAGTAACGAGGTTATTGACTCTGCAGCCGTTGGATCAAACAATTATTTCTCTCCAGTCTGCTACCGCCTCAGTGCAATAGGTATAAATCATGTCGCTTGTTTTGTTCTCGCCAGTATCGCATTTCCTTTGTTTCCCTGGTCCAATATTAAGCTGGTGTTTAATTAGGGTGATCCAAAATTTTGTAGATAGTGTACGTATATTTTTTTCTCTTGATTTTTTTCTTTTTTCTTTTTTTTGTATCCTTCCATCTCAGACGACGAAACTCTTAATCCTCCTCATACGAAAGTCTTGTAACCAGTGGTTCCAAATTATTACTTGTAGGCTCCTCCACAAACTTATTACCGTATAAAACGAATACGCCCTTCCGATTAAACTAGCACATTTACTGAATGATTGGTAACAGTGGCACACACTTGTTGGCTTGCGTGTGTGTGAGCCTGTTCTACGTCCACGAGTACCGATTCGAGTGCGATTCTATTATAACAGTTTGAGCGGGCAAAACATATCCCAGCCCTATTAGTACC